ATACCATGCGCGACCCTCCCGTTTTAATTTCATCCCGCTTGGACGCCTGGATGCCGAGTACGGACGGTTTAAAAAAATATGCAAATTTTTTGGCGGGAAAGCGATCTCGGGAACCACACGAGCTAAGGAGCTGAAACTTAGTAGGAATATTTCCCGTGCACGTACTAGCTAAAGATTTTAGCAACTACTAAAACTCGGCTCGGCTCGTTCCTTACACGACTAGCCAAAAATTTTTTGTATGGACGACGGGTAGGGTTGCCCGTTAAGCCCTGTGCTACAAATACGGTGAGGGCTATTGAAACCTAAAGAAAGGGGAAGGGAAGGAGTTTTATGGCCTCTCAGGTCATCCGTATGTGATCTGCTAGGTATACCGTAGGCACATTTTACAGCCCGGTTAAGGTCATCTATACACCTACGTTAGCAGCGCCCATTTTCTTCCCCTACATAAGCGCAAGTTTTGGGCACGGAGCTCAGTAGTCTCCCACTCACTGGGACTGAGTGGCGGGGCGAGTTGTTCGCCCACTGCCCTCAGTCCTCACCAATATTATCCCCTCTTTTTCTTTTTTTTTTCCCTTTAGGTTTTTTTTTTCCCCTTTTACATCCCCGTTGCTGCGCCTGCTCGTGCTGCTGCCATAGTAGCAGTTGTTGTTGGTTTTCGTAGTGCTGCTGCCGCTGCTGCTGCTTTTTCGTTATTCTGAGCATAACTGACGGTAACCTTTGACCACATGCGCACGCGAAGACGACTTTCACGTTCCTTTCATGTTGCACGCATATTCACGTTGCTACTCACGCACGAGCACGTTAAATTTGATGTAACTCCACAAGCAGAGCAGCTGGAGTACCGAAATGTCCTGAGCGTGGTCTAGGACTGTGTTTCAGTAAGCGCGCGCGCCAACAGCATTGACATTGTCACCCACGTACAAGCATGTGAAATTTGACGTAACTTCACAAACGAAGCATCTAGAGTGCTGGATTTTCCGGGCATGGATTAGGATTCGTTGTGATGATGATGATAATAATGCTTAGGTGAGGTTAGGTGATGAGGAAGAGCGTTGGGTTGGAATGAGAAAATATGATGCTTAGGAAGGGGAATGATGGTGGGAAGCGGATGATGATGATGATGATGATAATGCTTAGGTGAGATTTGGTGATGGGGAAGAGCGTTGGGTTGGAATGAGAAAATATGATGCTTAGGAAGGGGAATGATGATGGGAAGGTGGCGAAAAAATCACCGGGGAAGTCTGCAAAACCCTCTTTCTTGCATACGGCGCCCGTTTCTTGCATGAACAGCACGCACACTGCACACCAAGCCATCAGCACATTATAAGCACGCACACTGCGCACCAAGCCACCAGCACGTCATCATCCTCCACTTCCTGCACGGCTAACGTTGCCCCATTGCTTTGGCACATTGCCAAGGGGATTTCTGGCGATATGAAATAGTGTTAGCAGAGATGCCTCATTGGGGCGCAAAACGCACCGGCCGAGCCGAGCCGAGTTTTAGTAGTTGCCAAGATTTTAA